ATGGTAAGTGTAGGGAACCGGAGATCCTTTTTACTGAAAACGAGGCATCCTATCTTAGCCCTCAAGAGTGACAACTGCATTTGGATTCTTAATCTAGGATAGATATAGATGTCTATGGTCACCACCCACTTACCATCGGGAGGACTGTAAGCTCTATTGTCACTCTCATTCTTTAAAAAAATACGTTGCAGAGACATACTATATTTGTATTATTGATGTAGCTTAGATGTTTCAACTAGACGGGGAGAGTACTTCGCTGTCATAGAATACCAACGTAAAATAGCAAGAGTATACTGCTTTGACCCTTTTTTATTTTGTTAACTGAGCGTTCCATTTTAGTCCTCAAGAGTATACATGTACACTCATTTGCATTTTGATTCTTAATCGATGATTAGTGTTCTATGGGTTATATCATCCAATTATATAGGATAGCATTACTTACAGTAGGCAGTGTCTTTTCTTCATCGTCATTACAGCTTATCAAAAGTCTACTGATCATAGACCTTCCCCATAGACTGCCTTATAATGGAGATATTTGCCATAACTGCGGTGGCAGGCCAGTTAGCAACCGCATTCTTTTTATTATTATTATTATGTTGATATGATAAAGATGATACTGCTCATCCCTTGTTTCAGTTTCTCTCTGTCAACCCTGGAAACCCACGGGATTATTTTTAGTAGTGGATGTTCTTACGCCGACACTACACGGATTTTTTACTTCTATATAAAATACAGCGATCAAAATTTGTGATATTTTATAAAATTTACTTGTCCAATTAAATAAAGAAACAGCTTCCCAATACTAATGAGAGCTTCCAACTACACTATATATTTTAAGTGCTGGTTTACCATGTGTTCAGTAATGAAGGGGACCATCATAAGGAACCCTGAATCTCCATCTGTCGAACGCGGATTGAAGCAACGTGGTGGACTAACTGCTCCATAGTTTTCTCAGAAATGAGATCTGTCAGTCTGTGCCCAGCTGTGGGATATATACAGGTTGTAATTTATATTGAAGTAAAAACTTCTTTAGAATCGTTGTTGTGATTTGGAACTCGATGAAACGAATAAGCATCACTAAAAAGAGACAAACATATACATATACAGGATTTAGCCTGAGGGAATGAGATAGAATACACAATACAGTGTTTCCTATTATCTCGGGCTCCTTTTTTAAAGTGTTCACTTCTGCCGCGTCTTTGTGTGTGTGTGTGTGTGTTTTTTTTGTAGATTTATTTTACTTTTTATTAAAGTCTATAGCTGACCTTAAAATTTATTACATACGGAGTCTATAAAAATACGAATGTATGTCCGACAAAATTTTATCGTTGGAAAGTTGGTGAACAACAAAAGGTAAAAAAAAACATTCTTTTATTTTAAAATGTGTCGGTTGTTTATTAATATGTGTATATAAATATATAAACACTCACGCCTGTCACCCAGAGGGACAGGCAGAGACTAAGGACTTGCATTTGACACGATCCTGACACACCTCTCTCGCTTCCTCCACATCCATATACCTACGCATACACGCTCGTCGGTTAAAGGTACTCTTAATTTGGCCCGTTTTTAATATATCGCCAATTTGGTCGATAAACTTTTGCCTAGGGCGTTCCTTCCAGACTCTGCCGCTCACCTCTGCAACATAAATTTGCTTCGTCACTCTTTCCTCATTCATTCTTTCTACATGACCATACCACAGAAGCATTCCTTGCTTAATCCTGGTCATTTATTCTACTCTCGTGCTACTTCTGCCACACCCAACTTTCACTACCATACATTAAAGTAGGGACTAACACAGCATTGTGATTTGCCATACGTGCCTTTTTGGACACATTCTGACTTCCCACAATAGAGTGTTGAGCCCCATTCACTCTATTTCCTGCATTCACTCGTCGTTCTCCTTGTCATATCTACCATCCCTGCTAAATACACACCCCAAGTACATAAACTCATCTACTTGCTCAACCAACTCCCCTTCTATTCTTATTTCACATATTGATTTACTTTCTTCTCTTTCAAAAACCATAACTTTCGTCTTACTCGCGTTCACTTTCATTCCCTTTGCTTTTAATGACCTGTTCATTAATGTAACCATCATTTGCAACTTGTCCACCGAGGACACAAACATGACTTGATCATCGGCGTACAAAAGGCATTTGACGGTTAACTTACCCATTCTTAACCCGCATTCTTCAACTTTCAAATTTTTCAAACAACTATCCATAAATAGGTTGAACAGCCACGGTGATGCCACACAGCCCTTTCTGAAACCAGTCCGAGTGGGCCTCGTTGATCCTGACACAAGCACTAGAGTCTCTATACAGAGACGTCAGTGCCTGTATCAACCCATCGCTCAACCCAAATGAGCTCAGTGTCTGCCATAACACATCCCTGTCCACTCTGTCATAAGCATTTTCTAAGTCCACGAACGCACGAAAAACTTTTTGGTTTTTGGCCAAAAACTTCTCCGCGACTATGTTCATGGAAAAGACCTGATCCGTATACAAATCGTACAATCCATATAATAAACAATCCGTATACAACCGTATATACATTCCGCTTTCACATCAAACATTTTTCCATCAGTTTCTCTTTCATAACTCTTTCAATCAGTACCTTAGCATACATTTTTCCCACAATGCTAAGAAGGCTTATACCACGGTAGTTTTTACAGTCCTGCTGCGATCTTTTTCCTTTATATATTGGGACAATCAAGGCTTTGCACCAGTCTCCCGGTACCTGCTTAAGTTCCCAACATAAATTAAACTAGGTGTACAACAGGTCGGCCACCACTACTTCTCCAGCCCTTAGCATTTCGAGAGATATTCTATCATATCCGGCTGCCTTACCTGCTTTCATACTTTTATTGCTTTCATTATTTCATCGTTACTTAAGTCTTTATCTATTTCCCCTTCTTTCGGAATTTCTCTTTCATTTAATTCAAACGTCTCATCACTCATAAACACGCTTTCAAAGAATTCCTTCCATCTCCTTAAACTTGAAACTACGTCGTTCAGAAAACAGCCATTCTGGTCTCGTATAGCATTCATTCAAGGCTGTTTTGAATATTAATTAACATTCCATTTGGAAAATAATTATATAACCAGAAAAGCTTCAAAAATAAATAGTCAATCTAGATTTTTTTAGAAGAAAGACCAATAAATATTTATTTTAAACAATATTTGATATAAAATAAAAAATATATTTTACACGTGGCATGGTCATGGTGCGGCTATATTATGGTTGTAGCACGAATGGGTCGACTCGACCGGGGAAGCACCACGCTGCTGCTGTAATTCGTATGCTGAGTGTAGAAAATCGGTGACCCTTTTGACTGGAAACGAGGCATTCCCTCATAGTTCCCAGGTATGACAACGCATCTGCATTTGGTTCTCAAACGAGATGGTAGATGTAGATGTAGAGAAACATGTAGGTGTATATGGGCCACAGCAAAATGAGCACACAGTCTACTTATCGTCAGGTGGACTGTGTGATTATTTTTTATCCTTATCCCATAAAAATAATACATTCCTCATCAATATCAACATTAGCTTGTGACAATTGACAGCTAAAAGTTTCCGATGTAGCATCTACGGTTTTCTCCCGGCTAATAAGTTTTATTGGCATTATTACACATAGTGCATTGTTAAAGTCACTCTTTGTAACCCAATCATACATTGAGATGAGCATTAGGGAAGAAATACAAACCTTATCTGATAGTTTCACTATACTTGTTAACAAAAGATGCTCAAACAACTTACAAAAGACGGTATATGTATGTATTTGAAATCGACCGTGTAGGAGCGGTGTAAAATTATCCACTACTCCATATCGTTTCTTTCGTGTCGAAGGAGGCGACAGAGAGAAACTGAAACAGCAGATGGGCACCAAAATCTTGCTAAACGTGACAATTACACCATAATGCCCCCTATGATGCAATGGACTGTTGTAAGCTGTAATAGAATGGAATGCATTCTAAAAAGTCGAACTAAAACACACTCTTATGACCACTTGCTGCATTACCAAAGCATTTTCCATAGTGCGCTTACCAACCTACCTACCTTTTCATTTGAACAAGTTTTATTTCAGTTTTGATTACAGCCTAATTAAAGTCCACTGCTGATCACAGGGCTCCCACAAGGAGTGCTTCAAAATATATTATAAGCGATTAAAATACTTAGTTCAATCGTTTGATTATTATAAACGATTAAGTTACAGCCTATATACATCCCACTGCTGAGCACAGGCCTCCTTTCAATTCTGAGAGAGTTTTAGGACAAGGAAATGTTCGCCGCGCTGACCCAATGCGTGTTGGCGAACTTCACATGTCTTCATAATATTATTTTTTTCTTATTTCTCAGACATGCAGGTTTCCTCACGATGTTTTCCTTCACCGCCGAGGACGTGGCAAATTAGCACTTAAAATTGCAATTAACAATTTCATTGGTGCCAGCGGAGATCGCAGAAGAATACAGAAGATATAAAAAATAAATAAGATATAAGATACGAAGAAGAAATATATACGAAGTTATAAACACCGGTATTTAAACCAAACGGCTTTCCTAATCCGTGTAGCTAACAACTTTAAGCAACTCAATTATATTCTTAATGATCAAGATTTAAATATTGAGAGCCGTATCCCAAGAGCTAAGCGCTTGCCGTAAATCGGGTGCAATTCGGGATAGATCTTTGTCGGCTACGGTGAATTTGTTAAAAGAAATTCGAAGTGCTTATTAAACATGTGTTCGACGGTGAAAGGTAACATCGTGAGGAAATCAACTTGACTGAGAAATTTAAAACAATTTTTTTTGGGAACATATTATAAAGTCCGCCAACGCGTATCGGGGCAGCGCAGCGCGGCGTACACTTTTATGCCCTCTGAAATGAAAAGAGACCTGTGTGAAGAGGAAGTAACGGAACGCATAAAGTCTGTAATTTTACTTTACTTTCTTAATTAGAATATCGGTTACGATAATATGCATTTAAATTGTTACAGAATGCGCGGGATTGTTGTCTTGTGTACAATTGTAACGGCATGCCTAGCGTATTGCCCGGATACAGAAACTGGCGGCTTCAGGAACAGCGTGTGGCAACCCAATAATGTTTTAATAAAGTTATTAAATTTCTTTTACGATAGCATGTGAGTACTTTGTTTGTATAATAATAAGGTTGAACTCAAAAATTTTCTCTACAATCATTTAAGAATTGGATGAGTTGTGTAACTCTTGATAGAGTCACATTATATACAGTCTCTTCTGTAATCTTTCAAGGATCTTAATTATACAGTTTATCTTGCAAGTATTTTAATATATTATGTTACGAATCGACAAAAATTTATACAAAAAAACAATTCATATTTATTTTTGTTAACAACAGCCCTTTACAAGTCCACTGCTTATATGTCTCTCGCAAGGAGTACCACAAAACAGAGGCGGCCATATGTGTATATATAATATATTAAATTATTAAACAATGCATTAAAAATATACATGTGAAAATGTATAAAATACTTTATGTTTTATATGACATTTCCGCTGAGTAGATGCCATTTTAGTTAACCCAACTAGATAGAAGCCCTCGGCAGGCGAGACCGAGAGATTTAGTGGGAAAGGGAAAAAAACTGACGGACGATGCGGGCGATATCGAGGTGCACTGCCTTCTACATTTCATAAAAAGAAATAATATTATTATTATTGTTATTATTATTACACTAATCCTCAAATGAGAACATTTTTTACACTTCTCAATGTAAGAAATTACTGTAGTATTACGTAACTGTTTAATACAAAAGAATAGTTGTAATCTCGTAAGTGGCATCGAACTTACTCTTTAAAAATTAACCAAAGCATAAGATTAAGGGGCAATTTCTCTACCTTCACACAAAAAGGCTAATAACTACTGTTACACAATTAACAACACAAAATAAATTACAAATAGCCTAGTAAAGATCACCTAATTCCCAGGGGGAATCATCCATAAATTCATTAATGTTATAATAACCCTTTTTTACAAACTTTGTTTAATAAAGTTTTTAAACTTTGAGGAGGTCAAATTTTGTAAATTTTCGTTACTTTAATTAATAAAATTTTGACAGAGCCTTGACATCATCGGACAGATGTTTTCTTCAAAGACGCTTCGTGTCTGTCGTCGCTTTTGCAAAATCAATTTTAGTATCAAGAAATTCTACGTGCTTGGAAAACATCGTTAAAATTGCAAAGGTAGAGACTGAGAAACAGTTAGATAAGCCAGATTCGGCGCTCGCTGGACCATTTCGTGGAATCATCGATCGACTGCTTACTGTCATAGATCAGGTAAATTATTTCTCTCCCATTCTACTACCTTAATTCATAATTCATTATGATCTATGTGATAATTTATCAAGTGTGTGACTTGAAAAATTTTATGGTCTATAAAAACAGGTACCGTAGTAGTAGTGGTGTAAAAATATACGTGGTAGAGCCATGCTGCAGCTATATTAGTAGTATAGTTGTAGCACGAATGGGTCGGCTCGACCGGGGAAGAACCACGCTCTAACAGAATACCAGCGTAAAATAGCAGATTAATGCTGCTGTGTTTCGTATGGTGAGTGTAGAGAACCGGAGACCTTTTTTACTGGAAAAGAGGCATTCTATATTAGTCCTCACGGCTGACAACGTATCTGCATTTTAATTCGCAAACGAAGATAGATGTAGATTTATATGGGCCACAGGAACCACTTACCATCAGGTGGACTGTGTGCTCGTTTGTCACCCTTATTCTATAAAAAAAAATATCCACTACTCCATATCATATCGTGGTTGTCGTAAGTCGTAACAAATCAGGAGATGGGCGGATGGATCTCAAGCGTGGCAACTATGGCAAATATGTGCCATACTATGAGCCATACTATGAGGGAGGTCTATGTTCACCAGTGGACTTTTATAGACCGTAATGGTAACGAAAAACAGATAAATAAATTATCAACGATGGAGTAGAATAATTTGCCAGCGTGTTACTTTCTATTCGACTATAATGTGAGTGTCTTCATGGCAAGGTGAATAGACTTTATCAAGCTAAGTCAGTGCGCTCAACTATCTACGGCTGCATCAGCACTTACCGATTGGAGACAAACACTGCCTTATAATAGTAATCCACTTCCACTTAACATCAGGTGGACTCTAGCTCGTCAACCTTATTATATAAAACAATCAAATCACGAATAAAATCATCACGCATAGCCCAATAAAAGAGAAAATCCTTATCCTTTGTTTTTTATTATTATTAATAAAATGACGTTACCTTTAATTTTATTAATAATAAAAAAATACCTTATCATGGAATTAAATGCAATTTGTCACACAGAAATAGACAATGTACCACACACATGGAGATGAAAAGTTACAACAGGAATATGCACAAAAAGCGTTTCCGTGGCACGGGCTGATCGTAAGGAGAATCTTCTTCTTCATCAGCTCTTAGATGTCCACTATTTAACTAAAGTGCTTACATATTGATATTTCGTGTGACGGAAACTGCTATGGTTCGGTCCACTTATGTAACGAGGTCCCTCTACTTGAACGCACACTTTATCGAAGTGCAACACAAGCAGTTTTTATCGTGTATTATACATTATCTTTACTCTTTTTATAATTTAATAAATCCGAGAAGAGCTTGAAAGATTAGAAATGGCATATTTTTATAGAATAAGGCTGATAAATGAGCAGTCTACCTGATAGTAAGCGGATTCTGTGTTCCATAGCCATCTACATCTATCCTTGATTAAGAATTATAATGCAGATGTGTTGTCACCTCGCATGTCACATGGAATAACTCGTTTCCAGTAAAGACAGCCACTGGATTTCTGCACTAACTATACGAAACACAACAGCATTGAGTTGCTACTTTACGCAGGAGTAGCGTGGTATTCCCCCGGTCGAACCGACCCATTCGTGCTACAACCATAATGTAGCTGAAGCATGGCTGTACCACGTACCAATTACTACAAAAAATACCACGTAAAATCCACTTGCATTTACCGTATAAGACAAAGAATATTGATAATTTAAAATAAAAAATTTTGTACAACTGACTTCAATATAAATTATTAAGAATGACTCAAAAACTGTTGGTCAGACCTTGATCAAATTTATATGGGACCACATCTGAAGCACCAGCTTGCAAATAAAAAAAAGAATATGAGGTAACACACTTAAAAAGACATACAGTCGAATTGAGTACTGGCTCCTTTTTGAAGTCGGTAGAAAAATATAATGAATTCAGGACACAGAGTAAACGGGGCTCTTCCCTCTATCTCTATTGTGGGAAGTGAGTATGTGTCAAAAATGCACGTATGTCTATTCACAAATATTTTTTATTACTTACGTTATTGTATATAGTAAGGTATGTTGGGTGTGGCAGAAGAAGCACGAGAGAAAAAAATGCTGGAGAAACGTGGTCATTAAGGAGTATGTAAGAGGTGACTGTCAGGCTGAGAATTTGTGTAATGATATGTGACCAGGATTAAGAAAGTAGTGCTTAGGTGGTTTGGTTATGTAGAAAGAATTAATGAAGAAAGAGTGACAAAGCAAATTTATGTTAAAGCAGTGTATAACAGAGTAAGCAAGGGACGCCCAAGACGTAGTTTATTTTGGCCAAATTGGCAAATTGGCTACACATTGAAGAAGACCAAGTTAAGAGTTAAGATATAATATATATATATATATATATATATATATATATATATTATATCCGACGAATATGTATGCGTAGTTATAGGACCGTAGTATATATATGACATGAAGGAGGCGAGGGTGATATGTCAGGATCGTGCCAAATGGAATTTCGTTGTCTTTGCCAACCCCTTTGAGCGTGAGTGTTTAAGTATATGTGTAATGAAAATATAATAAATATTTTTAGTAATTATTATTGCGCTTAATTAAATATTTTATTTAGGTTGTTAATTAAACCTATCATTAAATTCCATTGCTTCAGTTAACAACATAACGTACATAATGAACTTCGTATTGAAGTTAACCGCCGATTAAATCGGACCTTTTTGGGTCGCGAGCATTATATAGGTTAATTATCTTTAATGAAGGCATCACATCAACGCGTTGAAATAGTTGAGTTTAATGAAATGAAAACTTAATTAAGCTACTATTAAATAGAAATAAAATTGTTTTATTGTTGACCCGCGGTTTTTTTATACAAAAACGAGTGACAAACGAGCACACAGTTTTAATGTTAAGTAGATCTGTAACCCATAGGCACTTGCGCCTACAGCTACTTTCACCTATACTTTCAACACGTACTACTTTCAACTTCGATTAAGAATCAACATGTAACATTTTATTACATGAAGACTACACAGAAAAAAATAATACTTTTTTGCTTCATGCAAACTGGCCATTTATAATTTTATTTTGCAAATACGTTTGCTAACAAATAAAAATTCGAATGTTTCATTTTCTAATTTCCGTCTACATTTTTACAAGCCAATTAAAATCAAAAAAAAAATCTTTATTCTCAAACCAGTAATACTTAAAATTAAATACATTATTGGAACATTGGCTAATTAAAACATTATGATTCATTAAAAATTGGCGTCAGGCATATTTTCGCACGATGTTATTTTTTTTACGATTTCAAATGTCATCTAAAACCGGACGAATCGTTTGTTAGACTTAAAATGACATTCATTTATGGACAATATACCGCTGGTATAAGAAACTAACGGTTGACCGAATTTATGAAATAAAGAAAGAACCCACGTAATATGGTATAATTTGTCAGCATTAAAAATGATCTCCGGTTCGCGTCACTTACAATACGAAACACAACGGCATTATGTTCTATAACTAAAATGGCTGCAAATAACAAATAGCCAAGTGCTAGGACTCCATTTTTGCCTAGTGGTCAATCTGGGTAGGTTCCATTTTCTTAACTATTTTACCAGGCATGCAGCAGAATATGCACTTCTGTGTTCTAATCTGATGCGTATATACTATAGAAAGCCAGTAAGTACAGGTTGTGAGTCATCACAGCGTAGTGCTCAGATGTGACATCGCACCTGTAGCCTTGTTTGAAGTTGGATTTGGTTGCGTGTGTTCAAGGGCTTCAGTAGCCACTGTGACCATCAGGTAGACTGTAAATTTGTTTATCACATTAATTCGATAAAAAAAAAAAAAAATGTTGTCTTTCGTATGATGAATGACGATAACCTATTTTTTTATATGCTACTAAGCCAGCGCGCCTGATGGTAAGTGGTGATGTAGCCTAAGATGGTGAAGCGCACTGACTTAACAAAAGCCTATTCACTATTGCGTTGAAGACACTGTAATCGGATGGAAGGACAGATGCTGGCAACTTATTCCACTCCTTTGCTGTACGCATGATGAACGACGTAGCAAACTGAATATGAATGAATAAAAAAGAAGTATTTGTATGGTGTACAAATATGTTTTTCCGTGTCTGAGTGACACATATTAAAAAAACATACAGTCGAATTGAGTACCTTTTTTTTCTTTTTTATTAGGATAAGAGTGACAAGCTAGCACACAGTCCACCTAATGGTAGGGTTGATAATGGTTGCTGTGGCCCATAGAGATCTACAACTATCATCTTTCACGAAGCCGTGAGAACTAAGATGGAATGCCTCTTTTCCAGTAAAAAGGGTATCCGGTTCTCTACACTCACCAAACAAAACACAACAGTATTAAGCTGCTATTTTACGCTGGTATTCTGTGAGAGCGTGGTCCTTCCCCGGTCGAGCCGACCCGTTCGTGCCACAACGTATTTAACCTCCTCTTTTTTTGAAGTTGGTCACACACAACAGCGGGATTTTTTCAACACATCAGCGCGATTTTTTAACAATTTAAATAATTTACTAAGTCAATCTCTAACTTAAACTTAAAGTTCGCAATATCAAAATTTAAATCTAGACTTTATTACTTTAGACAAATAATATAGCAATTTCATTATGCTGTATTTCGATTAGGGAGCGATGAGAACCGGAGACCCTTTCTTTAGTAATTATTAAGTTAGGCATAGAAATTGAGAAGGCGACGGCACACAGCTTACACAAGAGGGACGGAATCCATTTTAAACTGTTTAACAAGCATTCGCTTATTAAAGTTAGAAGTTTTATAATATTTGCAGTTATTCATATAACGTAATTTTTCACATTTCTGGAAAAAGTAAGTAATGTTTTAGAAATGGACCAAAATCATTAAAGGAAAAAGAATATTTCTTGCAGTAAGTCCGATTTCCTCGAGACTTTTCCTTGGCGGTACAGATCTTTACTGAAATCACAAACCCGCGCTACGTGCTTGAGTGCATTCACATTGCACTTGAGGAACGGAATCTTGAACATCATGATTGTAGTCAGTTCTACTTCTGACTACATTTTTACTGGCGTATTTAAAGTTCTTATAAACGTTCTTTTATACTTCTTATAAACGTTTAAACACGTTAAACGTTTATACTAAGTATAAGTATTTAAACATATTAATTTTATCTTTCTTTGCATGAGTTTCTGATACAGGCTAATTATTCAAAACATGAGCTTTATTGAATTAAATTTTATCGCGTTTTTTTTTTAAGAATAACGGTGACAAACGAGCACGCAGTTCAATTGATGGTAAGCGAACGCTGAGGCTCATAGACATCTACATTTATCTTCAGTTAAGAATCAAATGCTTCGTATCCAATAAAAAGGGTCACCGGTTCTCTATTTTACGCTGGTATTCTGTGAGAGCGTACTCCTTCCCCGGTCCAGCCTACCTTTTAGTGCTACAACTATCGTAATCGAAGATAAATGCAGATTTCTATGGGTCACAGCAACCACTTACTATCAGGTGAACTGTGTGCTCGTTTGTCAAACTTATTCTATAAAGAAAAGCAAAAACCCTCGCAAAGTAACACCGATTCCTTCCAAAAATGATTCCCGAGGCTACTGGTTGCTACCATTTGCATAAAATAATTTCTTTAATAAATTTAATCCAAACACAAACATCTACTCGGAATTTATCTTCAAGAAAATTGTTGTTTTATTATTTATATTATGTTTTATGTCCAGCCAATCAACGACGTACTAGCCAGTTGTAAGCCTGATACGTTTGAAAAGGAATGCCAGATTACATTGCAAAATTACCGTACTAAAAACGAAAAAATATGTAAAGGTTATTATAAAAATGTTGAAGTTTATAACCGTGCCATGAATTGGGCAAATCGGGAAGACAGCATTGATTACATTGAAGAATTAACCCAAAAAAGTAACAGGAAATTAAAGGATATCGAAGCTCTAAATTTCTTCGAGATCGCTGCAACAAAGAAGTACAAAAACGCATTAGAGGAATTACGGAACATCTTCATGCAAGTGAAAAATGATATTTTCAATTGTAATTCATTAACTTTTATAAAACTTTAATGTATATATTCTGTCATATAAAATGATGGTTTATTAGCAGATTTTGAGTGTTTTATTGTTTTATAGTGTCCTTCAGACTTATCACATGGAAAAATATAAACAATGTTGTTTCTTTTTAATATCACAATCACATTTTTATTGTATTTCATATGAATTATAAACCTTTAATAAATCCGGAGGAGAACCACGCTTTCACAGCATTTGAACCAATCGCGCTGCAGCGAAATATCTACAGCTTATCATCGTGTGTCTACCATGTTTAAAAAAAACTTCTTTCAGTATTACCGTTCTATAAACATCAATCTAAGAAAACAAGCTAGAACACAACATAGCCACTTGCAAGTGTTTAGATAACTCGACTGTTAGTCGTGAGTATAGAAAGTTCAAACTTTTGTATTTACTTTTTTGAACCATTACTTACGAATACAGTACTTATTAAACCGTAAAATTGATAAGAAAAAAAGACTAAACAGTACTCATTGTAACGTGAATAGTAACACATTTTTGTAGCGGTTGGTTTCGGAAATACTAACTCCAACATATCGACGAGTACTATGTGTTACCCGATAGTACAAAACGTTTGATTAGGTACCTATGTCCAACTTCAATTAGCCGTGCAATGGCGATGTAAGAATATCTGATACCCAGTATTGTCCTGTGGGTGTCGTAAGAGGCAACAGAGGTAAACTGAAAATTATAAAAAAACTGGAGTCGTCAACGCTCCTGTCAAGCATAGAAACTATAGCAAAATCTTCCTTTGTTGCAACCTATGGTTGGGGGGTATAATTCAGCAGTGGACTTTTTAGGCTGTAATGAAATATTGGAACTTCGATCGAGATTCCAATCGACCAATCCAACTCGGCTAGGCCGCATTCTGGAAATTGCGACAAGTTTTCTTGTCTGATATACCGCAAAACTCTAAAGCAACAGTATACAACCAATGCAGCTTACTTATGACGCATGAGGAACTCAGTGAGTGATGGAGAGGGCTATGCTCGAAATTGGTCTGCGTGATGAAATCGGTAACGAGGATACCCGCAGAGTAACGGACAAAGCCCCGTGGATTAGTAGACTGAAGTGGTAATAGGCCAACGATATAGCTCAAAGAAGCGACAACCGATGGGCACAATGTTGGGCAACCCCCACTGATTGATCATAAAAATAAACAGTCTTGTTTCTCTTCTTTATGAGACCATAATAGTCTACTGCTTGACATGGAAGTATTTCAGTGTAGGTAGGATTTGCCCTAATCCCTCTCTCAGTTTTTAACAAGCGATTCATCGAAGTAATCATTTCAGGTGCTGCTTCTTCTCAGACTAATTATCTATATTTTGGTCTCCTCGCCTAACTGGGTATTTTACATCTAGCAAATATAAATTGGCTATGCCGCCATTCTGTTGCAGGAAATAAAGTCTTTTTCCTTTTTTTCAACGATAGAAGTGACCTCTTAACGACAACCACCACAGAAAATGAGGTGAAGGATTATTTTACGCCGCAACTACATCTGGTACATCTTCTATCAACTATTTTCTTTAATGTAATTTAAAAGAATAACAAATTAATTAATCTTTATACAAAATCATAAAATATTGCCTAAAGCACAGAATAAATAATAGCTTAAAGTTTAAAAGTAACATATACTAGCGCCATCTACTACCTTATTGACACATCATCTCTTGGACTACTTTATCGTGATAAATAAGACTACATTGAAATTTCTTATGCCTCCGCTAGATAGCAGTCAAATAAGCCAGCCTATAAATTATAGCACATTTTTAACAATATATAGCAATTATAGTACTTTTTTATTTAATTTTCACCTTCGTTAAGTTCAATCAAAATTTTCAGCTTCAATATATTTTAATTATTTGTATTATATTATATTCATAAATACTTAAATAACCCTAACGGTAAAAAAGTTATATATATTTTTTAGACGGTTACCTTGAAAACTCTTGAATTTATAGGCTTAAAATTGTATTTTAATCCTGGAACTTATTTTGTTTTTGTTTTAAAATCATCAAAAAGTTTTTAAGATGATGCCGTCTGTATTAACATCGTTGGTAAAGTAGAACAATACTACTATGAGGGCTAATAATCTTCCGCTCACTAGATGTCACTAGTTGACAATTGAGAAGTTAGTTTGAAATAAATATTTATAGTTTAGTTTATAGTATGTACTAGAGTCTAGAGTACTATATTAGTATACAAAAAACAATGCCTGAGTGGTTTTTTCTTTAATTTTTTGCACATTTTTAACTTTTTTTTCATTCCTGTACTACTGTTATGAATATCTTTGGTTTGGTTTATTTATTTTACCTAAATCTAATTATTATAAAATTATAACAAATAGTACAGAAAGAAACATTAACCTTTTATTTTTCAAACAAATTAGCTTCCCTGCTATTAAATCTGTGACATAAAAATGTATAGTAACGCCGCGCCGTCCTGGTGGCAGAAAAAGTCGTGGATGCCCTCACCTCACTGTATTACCTATGGCTGCAATCGCAAAATGAATGGGTATGCACGAACGCATAATCCTCCGGTCACTAGATGTCGCTCGTTGAGACTGTGGTGTAGTTTTTTGTTACATATTTCATCTATTGTTTTATATAAAAGTTTTATCTGTTTCTAGAGTATTACGCTATATACAAAACAATGCCTCGGTGGTTTGATCTTTAATTTTTAGCACATTTAAGACGTTTAAATAAAACTAATTTTACGGATTTTATCGCGTATATTAACTTATTTTATATTCCCGACGTTTCGAGCACTTTCCAGCACCCATGCTCACGGAGGAGACTGAGGTGTATGACGTCCCAATGTCACTGACAAGATTGGCTACATCATGAAGCGTGCTTCCATTAAAACATACTTCAAGCCGCCGAAGAAGAATAGTCAGTTTTTACCATCAGTCAAGTGTAATGTTCCTCTGCACGATGCAGGAGTGTACAAGCTTGATTGTGAATGTGGTCTCTCTTATATATGAAAAACTAAAAGATCTATAAAAACTCGCGTTAAAGAACACATAGCTGATGTGAATAATCGACGCTCCGGGAAGTCTGCAGTCTGTGAACACGTACAGGATCGCCCCCGTCACTACATTAGATTTGATAGACCACAAACCCTTGCTAAAGAACACCGATTCCTCCCAAGGATGATTCGCGAGGCTATTGAAATCAAAAAACATCCTAATTTCAATAGAGAAGATAGCTGGGTGCTACCATCTGCTTGGGATCCCATAATTAATAAAATTAAATCCCAACCCAAGCATACAACTGTAAGACTTCAAGATACTGGAAGTTCATACTGCGTAGATCGGAACAAAAATTAATAATTTTTAATCTGGAGGTAGCGTGGTTAACTATGACATTGACCGTGACCATGGGTGCTGGAAAGTGCTCGAAACGTCGGGAATATAAAATAAGTTAATATACTCGATAAAATCCGTAAAATTAGTTTTATTTAAATGTGTAGTATTCGCGTAAACATAAGAAATCATTACATTTTAAGACGTTTCGCAATTTTTCATATTTTTGTTATATCCATAGTTTGTTTTATTCATTTCTAATCTAATTAATATAAATTATAACTAATAGTACAAAAAGAAACAATAACCTTTACATTTTTCGTACAAATTAACTTCCCTGCTATGAAATCTGTCAAATATTTCACCTCATTCCAAAGTGGATCTGCCCTTGTGGCAGAAAAATCGTGGATGCCCTAATAATAACCTTTCTGAATTTCATTCATAATCGATATCAGATGTGGGTGTCTAAGGCCTGAACATTAATTTACCAATAAGTAAACTGCATATGCTCGTATATCTACCCTAGGTGAAATTGTCAACACAAGCACTGACTCATAATAAAAAAATGCCATGCTATGCAATGCTAGATGTATCTCATCTTTGACATCATAAAAAAATTGAGGTGAAATAATTTTCGGTACTCATGAGCTGATTCCTCCTGGACTAACATCTGGAGTTCTCCCTATCATTTTCCACAGTCGCATTTTACGCCACTCGCAGGGTGAAGGCGAAGGTGAGGTCAAAGAGAATATAATCACTACGTTTAGGTGAGGTGACAAAAAGATATTATAATCAACTACATTGTTGTAAGTGTGTCATAAATGCTACAATCAAACACTTGGCGAGTTTAGTTACAATTGAAATTAGTTTATTCTCGAATTTAATACTTGTATAATATGGTAGAATTATTATACAAGGATTAAATTCGAGAATGCCAGCAAAACTTGCAAGTATATTTTAAAGAACTAGTGAGCCCTTTTATTTATTTTTATAGCATTAATCTATATGATGATACGTTAGGTACTTAATAAAAGACTTCTTATTCCGCTACTTGATCTGCTCGACCGAGGAAGGACCACGCTCTCACAGAATACCAGGGTAAAATAGCAGCTCAACGCTGCTGTGTTTAGTGTGGCATGTGTTGAGAATAGGAGACACTTTTTAATAAAAATGAGGCATTCCATCTCTATGTCTATTGGACACAGCATCCACTTAAAGTCAGGTGCATTGTGTGCTCGTTTGTCACCCTTATTCTATAAAAAGCTTCTGTGTTATTGATTGGTCATAATGCTCACCCCATAAAAGGTAGATAGACGAAATAAAATTTGATAAAAGGCTTTCGTAAAAATTATTTATAAAGTTCTTTTAATTCTTTTATTTAAAACAACTTTTACTTGTTTTATTTAAAACGTTTATTTAAAACAAGTACAGAAATACTTTACGCATTTATTTACAAAAATATTCTAATTACAACTAAATTTACATTTACGTTAAAATTGAACATCTATAATTTGAAAAATATTTAATTTCCCTAATTTAACACTAGTTACCTACACTAATCTTTATAAAATACAAAAGAATTTACTTAAGGCCACGACTGATACAACATTAACACTATAACAACTTTACACACATACTTATCTCTAAATATTTATAATTTACTTATTAAATTTACAATAATAGGTATAGTTGGAGCTAGAAAAGTACATATAAATAATCATGTTGTAAGTTATAATCAAAATAACATAATAACACATCGCAATCTTTCTCAGCTTCCTGATCAGACAGATCCATATATGTAAATCGAGTTTCACATTCTATTCGAATTTTTTGCTTACTTGGTTATCAATGAGTAATAAATTTCAAACGTATTTCAAAAATTCCGTGTATATACATACAACTTCTTTCTTATATAAACTAAAACATTTTTTATTTTATATACAGATTGATAGATACAGTTAATTTACTAATCAAACTTTACCATCGCTAAACTTGACTTTGGTTATGAATATTTTCCTACAGCACCTAGAACCTAAAACTTCCAACAGTAAATTTTAATTTTTTCAGGTGTGGTCAGATGATTTAATTTTAGCTAATTTTCTCGATTTTATTTTCTATTTTGATTGTTATTTCACATATAAAAAAATATCACTGATTTGTTTTCTCAGGTTAAAATTTCTGTTTAATGTTGAATTTTCTCAATAGAGTGTTAGAGTTTGAAAAAAATAATTTATTTTCATTTCCTCTTTTATATTATATATTTTGTTGTTATGTAGTGTAAGACAGGGTGACGTCATATCCCCGAAACTCTTCACCGCTGCATTGGAAGACGTTTTCAAGCTTCTGGACTGGAAAGGATACGGTATCAACATCAATGGCGAGTACATCACTCACCTTCGATTTGCCGACGATATAGTCCTTATGGCAGAATCGCTGGAGGACCTAAGCACTATGCTCAATGACCTCAATAGTGTTTCCCAACGGATAGGTCTTAAGATGAACATGGACAAAACAAAGATCATGCTTAATGTCCATGTCACACCTATGCCGGTAGTTGTTGGGAGCACTAAGCTCGAAGTTGTTGACGAGTATGTTTACCTGGGACAAATAGTCCGACTAGGTAAGTCCAACTTCGACCGAGAGGTCAATAGACGGATTCAACTCGGCTGGGCAGCGTTCGGGAAGCTACGACACATCTCGTCAGACATACCTCAAAACCTTAAAACGAAATTGTACAACCAGTGCGTGTTGCCAGTGATGACTTACGGAACTGAGACGTGGTCCTTCACTGCTGGCCGTATGAGGAAGCTCAAGGTCGCTCAGCGAGCTATGGAGAGGGCTATGCTCGGAGTTTCTCTGCGTGATAAACTTAGGAATGAGGATATCCGCAGTAGAACTAGAGTGACCGACATAGCCCAACGGATTAGTAAGCTGAAGTGGCAGTGGGCCGGCCATATAGCTCGAAGAACCGACAACCGATGGGGAAGAAAGGTTCTCGAGTGGCAGCCTCGTACCGGTAGGCGAAGTGTAGGGCGTCCCCCCACGAGATGGAGTGACGACCTGGTAAGACATGCAGGAAGTCGATGGATGCAGGTGGCTCAGGACCGTGCTTTGTGGCATTCTTTGGGGGAGGCCTATGTTCAGCAATGGACTTGTGAAGGGCTGTAATGATGATGATGATGATGATGTAGTGTTAGTTAACTTAAATAAAGACTAGGTATTATATACAGACATCAATACATTAAAGGAGTATAATCTTTTAATAAAATACTATGTCACACTTTTAAGATTAAATACAATTTTACTGAAATTAAACCATACTACACATTATAAATTAAATCATTAACGTAAAAAAATACATATCACTCAAAATGTCTGATTTTGTGTTAATATTAAAATTTAAAACAATTAAAAATAATTTAAGCCTTCCTTTTTATTTTATACCTTTCGATCATACTCTAATTGACTAGTAAATAAGATGTTGATAATAAATGTCATTGTAATATTTCCTTATTCATCTCGTAACCCCCGAATTCAACTTTACTAGTGATAAGTACACTTGTACTTCTTCTAAAAAATGTTTGCAGTTTTTCATCAAAACAGACTTATATTTTTTTCCTGTACAATTAACATAATTAGTTCAAGGAGGTGCAGCAGCTATGTTGTTTGGAACTATCTCTGACTCTTCATCAGCTGTATCAGCCTCACTTTCTTTGGTTATGGGTTCTTCAGGCTCATCTCGCATTAAAGTTCTGTACTTTTTAGCGATGATTTCCCAGTCAACTACATTCTCAATGCGCGTCGTGTTACTAATGCTGAGTTGAGAACCCAATGGACTTAAATGCACCACAGACAGACGGGTAGAATCTGAAATACAGTCTCATAATATGACACGTGTATACAGTATTATTTTCCACAGAGTAGCCAAATTTTAAACTTATGTTCAAATATACAAGTAAGTATTGAAAATACTAGTAAATAAGGCTACTACTTTTATTTGAAACTAGCTGTTCCCCGCGACTTCGCTCGCGGGTTTTTATGTTTTTGCGGGGAACCCTAATTCTTTTTCTAAAATAGAAGTCTTAGTTACTTCTTATGAAATTAGCTATCTGCCAGTGAAAGTCCCGTCAAAATCGGTCCAGCCGTTTCGGAGATTAGCCGGAACAAACAGACAGACAGACAAAAATTTTAAAAATTGTATTTTAGTTATAGGTACCGTATTTACTTCCATATGAATTTAGTGAAAAGCTGTAATTTTGACATTACAAACAGCCACTTCAATTTTATTTATTTGTATAGATTATACCAAACTGAATGTGATTTATGGGCAACAACTACGCGTACGCGCGCTCCTCTGTGTGCAATTCAATTCACGTATTTGCCGACCGATCGATTTTTGAGAATGTGCGTTAAAAAGTTCAAAGTTATAGCCTATATAGGTCCCAATGCTGAGCACAGACCTCGCCTCATTTCTGAGGTTTTAGGGCAAGGAATTGTCCGCCACGCTTCCCCAATGCGTGTTGGCGAACTTCACATGTCTTCGATATTTTTAATTATTTCTCAGGCATGCAGGTTTCCTTACGATGTTTTCCTTCACCACTTCACACAAATCAGCACTTAAAATTGTATTTAACTGGTTTTTAATTGGTGCTGGCGGGGATCGAACCTGGGTTGCCCGCGTACTATAATATTTACAGCGAGCGGTAACCATATGAACTACCACGGCTCGAACCACGGCGATTATGTGCGTGCGTAGTAAAATAATGTATTACCACGCATTCTGAATTTAAAAGATAAAAAGAACAGAATGTTTATTTTTTTAATTATTTTTTCTCCATCATTTGCCTATATTACTTATAATGAACTTTCTCTTCAAATTTGGCCGGTTATTGCAAAATAATCCTGTATATAGTCGCTGTATGGTGGCAGCATAATACAAACTACCCTCATGTTATCAAGTGGGTGTCGTAAAAGAAGACTTAGAGAAATAACCTGAACACCTTATGGTCTTCCATAGATAGCGGTAAGCTTGATTATTTTTCCACCTGTTGGTAAGTGGTTATGCAGCCGAATATAGTTAGGTGTACTGGCTTAGTTGAACAAACATCTATTCTGTCTTGACTTTGTATTTATACCAGGTAAAAAATCCCGTACTAAGCACAGGATGGTGTGTCAAATGCGCAAATCTTGTGGTGCTGTGATTACCGAATCACTTTCCCAGAGTGGCGATTTCAATAAATCGTTCATTATGCCTTGTATGTACTTTGGACTGATGAGGATGAAGAAGAAAATTTGCATTATTTGACCATGAATTGATTTAAAACGAACAGAAGCTAACGAAAACTATAAAAATATGGGCTTTTATTACTCACATCATAACTTCTACAGTGGGCTATACAAAACCGAAACCGTTTAGAGGTGGCTTAACAATATCCACTACACCATAATATCGACCTGTGGGTGTCATAAGAAGTGACAGAGGGAAACTTAAGCAGGAGATTGTCAACAGCATCTTTACGATAGAATTCAAAATGATAAAAGACTGCGGTTAACAACCAAGCGTTTCAACTATTACAATCCAATATGTAGCAATCTATGGGAGAGGCCTGGATTAACTTGACAGTGTATGTGTCTCTTTTTTATAGGATAAGGATGACAAACGAGCACACAGTACACGTGATGGTAAGTGGTTGCTGTGGCCCACAGACATCTACATCTATCTTCAACTACGAATCAAAATGCAGATGCGTTGTCACCCATGAGAACTAAGATGGAATGCCTCGTTCCCAGTAAAAAGTGTCTCCGGTTCTCTACACTCACCATACGAAACACAGCAGCGTTAAGTTGCTATTTTACGCTGGTATTCTGTGAGAGCGTGATGCTTCCCCGGTCGAGCCGACCCATTCGTGTTACAACTATACTAATATATACTCATAATATAGCTGAGGCATGGCTCTACCACGTATATACGTCTACCAATAGATTGCCGTTAGCTAGCTTTAGATTGCCACTACTAATTAATGGTTTTGTGACAATTATAGAAAGTTCTATACGTAAAAATGTACAAGAAAGAAATTTACCTTTTGGTACAACCTGTCCTCTTTTTACCTTGGATAACCACTTTGCCCCTGCTTTCGATCTTGCACTCAGTTGGTCCTGCCTTTGCGTTCCAATCATATGCACCAGGCTCGTTCGTTTCTTCTTACTCAGTCGATTCTGATAACAAAAAATATGTTGGGAAACTAAAAATACTACAAAACTATTTATTAATAAGAAAAACAAAATCTACAATAGATCGCAACGGAAAAAGACTATATTTTGCTCTTTATACAAAAACAACGCCTATTTCATCGTTACCTTTCCCTTATGTTTGATATCTTCGGATTTCAAATATGCTGTAACTTGTGTTAGTAGACTTTAGGTGCGTGTATTAAAAATGTTTTCGCGCAGATTCAGGTTACATTTGGAGTGACTTGGATTTAAGTTATTTGTAAAAAAACGATAAGCAAAGTTACAGTAAAATACGTCGTATTGCACTAGTCTCTTTTCATTTCTGAAAGGGTTATAGGGTAGCCAGTCCGCCACGTAGTTCCAATGAATGTTGGCAGACTTTACATCGTGTCCTCAAAATATTTAACAGTCCCACGATATTTTTCCGTATACATGATAAGCCAGCGCTAAAACTGCAATTAATATTTTCATTGGTGCAGGTGGAGGTCGAGCGTGGGTTACAGTTTACGACGAGCACTTAGCCCTAATAGATTGTTTCAAAAATTTTACCACAATTAAAGGTCGATTTAAAACTTACCTTACATCTATGAATGAGCCACATTAGCCATGTTGTCACTAAATTAAGTGGAGATGGAGCTGTATTCGTTCTGTGCATGTTACGAATTAACTTGGATAAACCATACTTCCATTCTATATCTGATTGAGCCTGTAAATTTTTACTCACTTTATGATTTTGTAAATCAATTTATCAAATTAATTTTCCATTGTGTTTTTTTCTTTGCTTTAAGCATACTTTATTTAATAAGCACATACAAAGAAATAGCTTTATATTTTGACTTTAAGGTGTATAGAAGAAAACAGTAAAGATTATAATTTATACTGTCTATTATTTATATATTTGTCACACGTGCCTACTTATATTGCATTTTTTTATTTTATTAAAGCATTTTAATTAGAGTAATAAATCTTACATGCTAGATTAGATAGCAAAGTATAGCAGAAGCATAATTTTTAATACATTTTTATATTTAAACATTTTATATTTAATAAAGACACACTTAAATAATTTTACTTATATTATTTAGGTAGAGGAATTTTAAGTGATATTGATGATAGCAGCGCCACGTGTGAGTAGTCGTTTCTGAAAGTACCTGAATTCTTTGATATGTGTCTGACATCATAGCAATCAGGAGATTTATTAGTACCACCACTGACACCAGCATGTAAATTCCAAATACAATTTTGAATAGGTAATTTGTCCACGCTGGTTGCGTGTTGGTGTCATTTCGATGCACTCTCGTCTGTTCCGTTGTGGTTTGACCAAACACAGCGAAGAACAGTAGCTCGAAGGAAAATAGTGGATTCATCGTCACTGCGAACAAGACACAAGTTCGAAGTAACTGCTCAGTTACCTGTATGCGCTGATAAGTGTCCGACATCATCGCAATTAGGAGCGTTACGAGCACCACAACAGATATCAGCAAGTAGGCCCCGAAGACGAACTTGAAGAGGTTCTGTGTCCACAAAGCTCTCACCGTGGATATGTAGTTTAAGTCGGACAATGTAATCTGGCCGAAAAGGGCGAAGAACAATTTCTCGAAGGCTTCGATCGGTGACAAAGCCGCTAGAAGACAATACTCAAATGGACCAAATTCTCACGTTGCACAAACTCAATGCAAAAGAGAGGTAGGGGTAGCTTAATGCAGTATTCTTTGTGTGAGAGATGTGTACATATTGATAATGTCACGTGTTCATGTTTTACTAGGCATCAATTTACCCCTACTTTATGTACTAAAAATATTCTGAATTATTGCTTTGTATCATAACAGAACATCAAGGTCTTATTTAAATATGTTTCCAAAGAAAAATTTAATAAAATTTTGTTATGATACTTTGCATTAGATTATCCACAATATTTTTCAAATGTCAACTAATTTAACAACAAATGTGCACGGATGGGGTAGATTGATACGTGTGAATGTTGGTGCGGTTATGTTTCAGGGTAATTGTTCACTTGTTGTTTGGGTTTAGACTGTAACGAATTATAATGTTGTGAAAGTATATAAGAATGTAAGCCAATTTCCCGATGCATCATTCCACCCCAATCCTCTTTATAGCAACTATACATGAATGGTGTTGGCACACCATAAGTGCCACAACGACGACAACAAAAACACATCCGTAGCAAAAAGTGATACCTCAAGACACTGGTGTAACAAACGCAGGACATAAGCCAGCGACGGCATGCGCAAAATATAATTGCTCCATCAAATGCGGTGAGGTCGGCCACTCATTCCACTAAAACTATTATTGTGACAAGGAATGCATTTTCTGTGTCAGCATCGACATCTGAAATATACATCTCTCGTACAATTTCACTCAGCGTGCTATGTAAGAAAATTATGTGTCAGTATTCATTTACACAAAACTTCCTGTCATAACACGTTAGGTGAGACACACTAATTATTTGCATTAAAATTCATGATGAAAACTATGAAAATATTTTGTATATTCTATGACTTCTGCTAAGGGTGTTTGTTTGTATTGTACAGACCTATACATTCCACATTCAATATGTTGTGTTGTAACCTAACAAGTACTAACTTGAATAATAATATCAATTGACGATGATAACATTCCCGATGTAGCGGCAAACATTCAAGCCTGCAAGCGGATGGTTTTTAAATAAAACAAAACAAGCACACCGAATTGTATTGCAATCATCACATGATGGAATGATTTACTTCGTGAGCGAAAAAAAAAGAAAATATCGTTTGCCTCTATTTCTAACACGGACTTACGTCCCGTTGGTCCCTGTTTCCTCCGATATGATTCCCCAGAAAGACTATTAATCCATTGTGAATCATATGTTTGTCGTTTCATCCGTAGACTATTATCTATTTTTTAATAACAGTGATTAAACAAATGTCTATTTAAATGTGTGAGATACACTATTAGAAAAGTAAATAAGGTTATATAAAGACATTATACTACAACATCAAATACTAATAATATTATAAATACTACTAAATTCGATGTTGGAAAACAATATTGTATGTTACAAATAGTGTTTTATTATTTTATGTTATCTTTAAAGTATTGACATGTTATTCGTTGTAAGTTTTTAAAAAATTATAGAAAAACACTTACCGTCTGAAAAGACTTTTCTTCTCGCTTGTCTGGCATATTTATTATCTTCCGGTTTATTTAAATTTCTAAACGGCTGGTTGAGAGCTACGATATGCATCGAAAATCCAAAGACAAATATAGCTAATACTGCTAAGAACCTTCCCAAGTCTTTCATAAGATCACCAATTATTATAGCCCATGGTCCGAAAAGATGATGAAATGACAAAAAGTCCAAAATTTGGACACAAGCCAGAAGAAAGGAAAGGGCAAAACATTGATTTCTACAATACATTAACGTTGGCCAATACTTAGGCATAACAAATATCCACCCCACTACATGAGTCGCTACTCCAATCATTCCAAATAACAATACGGCCATTTTTATCCACCCTAGACCTGACTTATCACTAGGGTTTGTTAATTCAAAGAGCAAAAGCCCACTTAAAGAAATTAGAAGCATCCACTCGTACCATCTCGGAACTAAACTTTCCCTGAATATTGAGTTATTGATTGGTGTTATAGCCACTAATGACAATAATATCATAAGGTAAATATGAGCCGTTAAATACGACATAAACTTAATTATTGGAATCTTATTATATTTGTGGCCTAGCGGAAGAGAAAACACCACCCAAACTGGTGGACATATTATAAATGCGAAAAAAAGGAACATAATTTTGATGCCATTCCACTTGAGGCTCCCTCTCCAGAGTTCCTGAAAGAAATCGATAGCTATAAATATCACAATGGACACTTGATAGGTAGGATTACTTTAGTAGACGAAGTTACCTATTTTTTACCTGAAGATATCTTTGGACGACTGTATGTGCAATGACTTCTTTTTGCTCATTTTCTATCAATACATCTAAAAATTCGATATTTCTGTTATCCGTAGCAGTAAGTATATGACCAGCTGAATCAGCACCAGCGGCTAATGCTAATAGTTCTGTGGCCATTGCTTCACACTGTTTACCAGCTGCTATAAGATCTTTGGCACGCTCCTTTTCCTGATCGAATAGCATTAATTTGTTATTAAATGCAAAACATATGTTTAAGAAAAATATTATTTAAAATTATGTTTTACCTTAGTAGATAAATTGATATAAAGGTTTGACAACTTAGCAGCTGTGTCTACAGGTGCTGGTGATACCAAAACAAATTCTTCTATTGGAATATTGTTGTGATTTTTCGAACACACCATAAGATTATAAATAAATCTTTTATCATCCATAAGAGATTGCGTATCGTGTTCTTTATGCAAAAGATATTCAAGAACATCATTATGATTTTCAGAAGCAGCGAACCAGATTGGAGCGCAACTTAAATTGGTTTCACTTTTAGGTGAAGCTCCTGATTCGCATAGTAATTTCACTACATTTAGATGTCCAGCTTTGGCCGCACAATGTAATGGAGTCCAACCATTTTTATCCGTGGCGTTAATTTCTGCACCTTGGCCTAATAAAACTTCAACCATTTGATAATGACCATAGGTTGAAGCTATGTGTAATCCTGTTTTTCCGTGTCTATCTACACTTTGTAGTAATTCTGCAGATCGACTTAATAAGAGACCTACAATGGACATATGTCCACCAAAGCAGGCTAAATGTAACGGATTGTATCCCTGAAAATTTTAAAATGTTATACATAATATTAAAAAAGTACAAAAGAAAAAGTTTGATAAACGTAACTCACATTTTCGTTAGTAGCTGCATC